AAAAAAAATATGAGCCGTTCTTGCACTTTCATATAGTGCGCCAAACGCGGGAAAGTTGAGCTATTTATCAGCCCTCTATTTGTTAATGTTTATATTTTCTTTCTTCTACAATGCTTGCCCCAATTGGATTCGAGCTTCCAAATCCATTAAGTCCAGAATCTCATCCTCCTTCAAATATTCCTGTCTTTCTAAAGCATCAAGTATATGACAATCCTGATGTCTTCTCCAAAGTGGATCAGCATGCCATTAGAGTAATGTGTATCTTTGCACATAATTCACTTTTAGGTGGCTGAATCGGAGTATCCTTCTTTTCGAGATTTACTATGGGACCTTGTCTTCCGTTACAAGTTGTCTGAGCTTGAACGCGCGAGAGTAATTTTTAGATGGATGACTTCGAAAGATATGTTTAAAATACAGTTCAAAAGTGTCTTTCCTGGCACTCCCGAAGAGGTCCTTCTGTCCTTTAAACAAAACAAAGGGACATTTGCCCGTATATTTGAAGCTATGTGTAGTTATTCTGGCATTTATTGTAAAACAATCAGTGGTTATGCAAAGGGAGTAGATTACCTCCCTGGAGATGGATTTTCTGGACAGCCTCCAAACCATTCATGGAATGTAATTTTTATTCAGGGATCATGGCAGCTCGTTGACGCGCATTGGGCAACGCGTTATCTCAGTTTCGGTCATAATGTGCCTGAGAATGTAGTATATGAGTACGATGATTTCTATTTCATTATGGAGCCACAGCAAGTAAGCTATTATTTACATTTATTACAATGTGCTGCTTATATTTTTGCAAATAAGCTTTTTGGTGTACTTGTGCTTCAGGATATTTCACCTTTCTTATATGGAGCTTGGTTTTGAAAATGGATTAGTTTCCATTTCAAAACATTTATCCTATAGATTTTACATCATATCATCTTATTTTACTATTTACTCACTTTTACTAGACATGAATGCTATGGATTCGTTTACAATAGTCTTGTGATTGTTTTACTCATCACATGTGACTTAACAATTTTGAGTGAGTGAGGTCTCTCTAAGAATCACATTTGAAGCCGCTTAAGCTTTGAAATACTTCTGTTTTTCAACTATATCCTGAGTAACTATCTTTTCACATTAGGAATTTAAATGGGATTATTAGAAAATCCGTTGTATACACAACCTCTTTTACTTTACCAATGCATATCTTATCTCCTGCTTTCGTTTATTTGATGAGCATAAATAGCTTCTTACCGAACTTCCATTTTATGAAAAAGGCCGAACGTAAATTATATGATTAAACTTGTTTATTTATGCTAATAGACT